ACGAAATGACAAAGTACACGAGTTCTCCTCCCCCCGACATCGGTTTTTCATTTTCTGAGACAAAAAGTCATTGAGGCTCCAATTTCAGTTTAATGGTCATGTGACAGGATCCAAAGGGACCATGAAGATGTTCTGTTTGATCCACAACAGACATGAAGGAACTTTTCAGGTTCACCCAGAGGCTGAATTAGGTGAAGTTTAAATCTGGTCTAATAACAAAAGGAGTCAAATTAATTTGATCAGGTACTGGACTGGAGTTTGGACATGTCGTACATCACGGTGCTTCATTTTCATCTAATTTTATCTTGAAAAGGTCTTTAGGGCCACGCGGTGGCAGATGTTAGAAGACTTGACTTTACAGCAGGAAGGTGAATGGTTCTTGTCTTTACTGGTGGGAAAAACCGGTAGAGGGTGTGACAGGGGAGTGAGCTGTTACCAAAGTGTTGTCTGGTTGTTTGTTTTGGTTCAACCGTCCACAGGTGGTTAAGCCTCAACACGTGTGAACGCGGTTTAGTGTTGACGGTTTTTTGTTTCCAATAATTTGTTTCTGATCCTCAATAACCACCGTACATAAAAAAAACGATGTTTTAAACTTCACCCTGGTGGACATGATGGTAAATGTCTCCTCTTATCAATAGCAAAAGATCTACTAGATCCTGACCACATGTGGTCTGATCACACATGAAGGAGGCCACCATAAGGTCTTTAGCCTCACACCGGGTTTGAATGAAGCCTGAATGTTATTGTAGGAAGTGTATGAGGCTCAAACACATTAAAAAACCCAGCAACAATCCTGGTTTGAATCCTTTCTCCTCAGGGAACCAGATCCACAAGAGCCCAAGGATCAGGAGCTGCCTCCATTATTGACCTCACAACTTTAATATGCCTGAAATGTTCATCAATATTAATGAGTTGTGTTGTGATGGGATCACCAGTGCTCCAGCAGCAGCAGCAGCAGGAGGAGGGAGTCAGCTGTGGGGTCAGACACAGGTCGAGAGGAGAAAGCAGCTAAATCCTAAACACAGTGGAAGCAGAGAAACATTATGGGTGCATTATGGGTAGAGTCAATGCCCCCTCCTGTGGCTGGGGCTCCTGAGTGCAGCTAATTAAGCAGTCAAAGGAGTAAAGCAGCATTTATGTAAATGCAGTTGCACTAAAAGGCCTATTCAATGTCTATTATGTTCACACTTTAAAATTCCCAAAGTGCAGCTGTGCTGAATTAATGAACCTTTGTTTCTGGATCATATGCCTTCAGAGTTTTTCATATTTGACTCCACACCACCTTCCCTTTCTCCTGCTGAGGCAGAATGTGTGTTGTGTTACTTTCTGGCAAACACTCTTCTCACAAAAATGCACCAGGCCGTCCAAGTCAGGGATTGGCCGATCGTTCTAGAGCGAGGTTGATAAGGCTGCTGCAGATCCAGAGCAGCAGCTTCAGATCTTGTCACTCAGTCTGTTCTGGTCCACAGGTCTGAACTTGATGAAACCCAGGTGTGACCTACTGTAGGGCCAATGTCAAAACCCTGACAATGTGATCACAACCGGAGCTCAGCCACAAATCAGGAGATAAATCATGATCCTTCACTCCACACTGACTATAAACCTGATCAAAGAAAACAGTCCTGTACTACTGGGCCTGGATTAAAGAAACCTGGCCGCAGACATAGTACTACAGTCCTCGAAGCACTCGCCTTTCTAATAATTTTAAAACAATATATATA